AGTGGAGGTGCGATGGCAAGATTGTGGATTCGGGTGAATCTTGGTGGAGCGGTGGCACCGGACGGCGCGAATTGTGACGGCGTGCACGGAGGGAGGATTGCTTTAGAGGTGCAGGCTGCCATGCGCCGCTGTCCGCTAGGCCGGAGAAGTGAGCATCCTTCATCGTGCGAGTGCGTGAGCCGGGGCTGATGGCAGCGTGGCCCCTCGGAGACTCGCTTTACTCTAGACGTGCCGTCTATGCGTGTGTGTTATTCAACAATACGTGTCAATTCCCGCTGGTTTCCACAATAATAAAACATACGTTTGCTCTACAACATTGGATGTTACATCTTATTTAAGGGATCACGGAGAACACTGCAGTCTTGTTCATTGGGATCGTTAATTTCAAGTTGAAAAAATATTGTTCAAGCAAACACCGTGTGTATTTATGCAATTTGTCACCTGTATTGGATGATACTAGGCTCAAAACGAATACCATGAGACGCGTTACTCCAGCACTTGTGGAAACTAAAGCAATGTTCGTGTTGAACAGCTTGCGTCGACGCAAATTTGTATCCCAGGTTGTGTTTAAGGGGGCAAGCGTGGTGCTCGTTGCAGCGCAGCTCGCATGAGTGGCTCCTCCCTTTGCGCGGTGGCCTTCCCACACTCGACAGCGCCTTTTGTCTCGCCGCTATCGGAACGCTCGCGATAATCCACGGAGCAGCATTGCTTGGAGGGCTTACGGATGGTGCTCCGCTGCTGAGACCGTTCCCATTTCTGACACGAGCGGAGCCCGAGCGGTTGCACTTTGACACAGAGCGGTAGGCTCAGAGGAGTGATAGACGGTAAGAGATTTAGTGTCGTCTCGGGTTTCCAAATCGATCCCCAGAATTATGTCCCATCGCAACTCCGGGAACCTCCGGAGTGCACATTGCAGTGTGTACTGACCTAGGTGGTTAGGTGAGTAGATTAGTGTGAGTTGAATTCATCTTTACATGTCCAGATCAATATTCTTACAGATACCTTACAGTGTTTGGGACCCTAAGGGATCATGGCATTTGGCTTAATTTATAAATCAATGGAAACTGCCTCATTGGCCAGTATGGGCATGACTAATGCACCTGCACTCAGCTGGGTTTCGTACCAACGCTGGGAATCAGAAACTGAATGGGGAAATGGTTGCTTTCATTGCACGCATTGCAGCACCATTCAAAACTGTGCCCCAATCATATAAAGGGGGGGGGGGGGGGGGTTGGGGGTGGGCTGCAAACAGGGTCAGGCTTTTCTGAAAAGCGCTTTATGTTATTTGCAATGTGACATTTTACGTTGGTTGTTGATTTAACCGTTCACATTTAAAGGTGTACCTTTTTTTTAAAGAATGTGCTTCACTGATGTGAATGGGCAGGGAGATGCAGGATGCAGTGCCGTGGCAGTGGAGGCTCGTGCAATGCAGGCCTTGTGGGCCCTCGTGCCGAGGCGACGTTCCCGCGTTAAAATCTGGCCCGGCCACTGCTGCCCCGCAGCTGCTTTTTGGATATTGTGCCTATTGCTTATGAAAGAAAAAAGATCACTTAAGTGAAATTTAAAAGGTGGATTACTCATCACTATGGTTTAGGCTATGGTTATTCTTCACTGCTATGGTTTAGACTGTAAAAGTGTGGACCCTTTCAGTTATGTGAAAAAATAAAAGTCCTATTAAGTTTTTCGTTTTGATTGTGTGCGTGGGAGAGGGGGTGCTGTGAAGAGTGCTGGTTTGTGCAGGCTGCTCCTGCTGCCTTACACAACAGCACAGCTACTTGGACCAGAGAGCTTCGGGGGGGTTCCTGCAGGATTCGAAGGATGCCCTGGTCCCCCCCCTCCCCCTCTTTAAGAACAGGGTGGGGGGGGGGCTGCACTTTTTAACAACCACCAAGGGCAATCTTCATCTGCAAACTCCAGCAAATTGCGCACTTCAGTTGGTGGCTGGCGTTATAAGTGGACTGCGACCCTCCAAAGCGGTGTTTCTCAAAAATTGTTTGCCCCGTGGACTACCCATGATAAAACGCATTAACTTATCTTTAAATAGCAGCAATACAAAATAATTTATATTACTGAAACATTTTTTAAAAAGTAGCTATAAGGTTTTTTAAGAGGGGTGTCTGGGACCCTTAGATATTAGGGTTTGGGTAGTTTCATCGGGGTCATTTATCTAACTTTATTTTAAATGAAATATCAGTAAAATATAGTGTTTGAAACGAAAGGAAAACTGTCATTATTTCCGGATCAACCTGCATTTATAGCAGCTTGCGGACCACACTGAGAACCACAGCTCTAAAGAATCGCGCCGCCCCCATGGTCGTCCCCGTGATACGTTGATCAAACATCTCTCGAGATACCGGTGTATTCTAGATTTGAAGCTTTCGTGACTGCAAGGATTCATACTCTTAGTATTTTTCGGTAAAGTCACCGGTGTATGGCAGCAAAAGCAGTTTATGCAAACGCTGTCGCAAGAGGTCACGTTTGGTGCAACGGTCCTTCGCTAACTATGCATGATGAATGAAGAAGGGATTCTTCCTCTGCTAGGAAAGGTCTTGGCAATGATAATTTGACATCGTCTTGCTAGGCTTGCGAACCCCCCAATGTGGTCTTGCAAAGACAATATATTGTCTGGTCTAGCAGTTGTGGGTTTTTTTTTTAACAGGACCTACACTTCTGTACAGGCCTGGTCAATGCCAATGCTACCAAAAATACTTTGGGTTTTGGGGACTGACCGTCTGCACACAATAGTTAAGGACTTTCACGATGATGGTAGAGTTGGGTAAAGTCAATGGAAGGGCTATTTCCTGTCTACCTTGGTGTGGTCGTGATGTCGGCTGGTTCCTAAGCTATTTGAAGTCTTGAGCACGCATCTAGAAATATTCTGTAGCTGTACCAGTCGGATGTTGGTGCAGACACAGTGAGAGGTCCATTGGCTGCAGGTGGCCAAGGGATTGTTGTCGACTGGTCAACCCTGCTCGCTGTGCTGATGACTTTGTAATTGCTGCTCACTGAGAATTCGGAGACTCGTGGAGGTCTCCCTGATATACATCCACAGCCGTATTAGCTGCAGTGCAGAACTTCAACTTCCCCTCGGCATTGAGCTGTGATGGAGGAAGATGCCAACCCCAGCTGCGAGCGATCAAATTCGTACAACTTTTAATTGCTAGCTCAACCCAGGCTGCATAATGCAGCATCGAATGTCTGTCATCTATGTACGTTGAACTTCTTTCGAAAAAGTACGTAGCCAATCGTGCTGAGAGGTGTGGGGAAGGACAACAAACTAAACACAAAGCAGTTCTCAAGAAAGAAGTATCCAATCTAGATTTAAAAGTGCATAGCTCGAGTGGCTTCCTAATATCGGAAGAGCGTTCCAGACGGTCACAGAAGCGCATCTGAAAGCGCGCGATGCAGTGGCCGTCTTTTTTGATGGCCAGCCAAAAGTCGCTGCTGCGAGGACGACCGCAATTCGCGTGATGGTTTACGCTCATTGAGATGATCAGCAAGGTCTTGTGTGTGATGCGCGCGACCTTAATGTGTGACCTGTCCTGTTGCTCCACACGAAGCGCCGAGGATTCTCATACACAATAATTGTCTTTTTTGTCTACGCTTCCTAAACGTGGACCCTTTACAGCCAGCACACGATGCTGGCTTTACACATTCAAGCCGACCTGCCTCAGTTTGAGTTGAACGAGGCTTTGATCGTGAGGAGTTTACATCAACAACAAAGCGAAGGAGCCAATAAGCAAGCCTTCAACACTCCACGTTGCTTCGAAGTTGCACCCGAAGAGTGGCGCAAAAGCACCGTGATGAGATCACTTATTGGCGGAGGGGTCGCCGTTGTGTGCACGTGTGTATGGAAGTCTATAAGCTGTGCCAATGCTGCTCGCGTGCAGGGAGTACACGTGGCGTGGCGAAATGAACGCTCAGGAACAGCACCGTGGGGATCGCGTCACGTCGCGATCTCTACACCCGTCCACTGATGGTCACGGCACATTGACAACGTTGCGAGGTGGAATGCGTGAAGCGCAGGGTGGTGGCGCTTGTGGTGGGCAGCCGTTGTTGTAGAGGAAATATGGTCCGAGATAAACGTATTGCAAATGTTTATCGGCACCAAATGTCGGTACAAATCTATTCCCGACACCCGAACACAGATGCCAATTACGGGACAGGTGGCAACCGACCTCGTCAAGGACACTGCTGGGGCAGCTGGAGGCAGTCACCACCTCCTCCCTCATCTCGTCCTCTCCTCCCTCCCCCTTCATCTCCCCTTTCCTCCCCTCCCGCCGTCCTCCCCTCACCTCTCTCCCTCCTCTCCTTTTTCTCCCATTGCCCGCTCATCCTCTCCTTCCTCGCCTCCCCCCTTCCTCCTCTAACTCTGCCCTCTCCCCGCACTCCCCGTGCCCTCGTCTCGCCGGACTCGCTGCTGCTGCTGCGGCTACTCGGGGCTATGGTTCCGGGCGAGGCGGGCGCTGCCGTTGAGGCGGCGTCGCTAGCGAATGGCGACAACAAGAGGGGGGCAACGGCGGCCGCGGCGGCGGTGGCGCCCGTGGCCCCGGCGGGGAGCACCGGCGTGGCGACCGCGTGGCTCATCTTCTACAACGTGGCCATGACGGCAGGGTGGGTCCCCTCGGCGCGCTCCCCTCTCGACAGAGCCGATGCGTCGTACGCACGGTGCACCCCTCTCCCCCAACCTCCCTTCAGTGTGTGGAACTTCGCGGGAGAACCTGGCGGGTCCCGTTAAAATTAACCGCGGGACCTCGGTGGGATCGGGGACCTGGTCCCCTACGCGGAAGGGGGGGGGGGGGGTCCGGGCCCCCCGCCCGCACCGCCTGGGCTCCTGCTGACGGGCGAATTGCGCGGCCAAAAATAGCGACACGGGAGCCGAGTTCAAGACAGCTGCTCCCATCGAGAGGAGGAGGAGCTGCTGGGGGGAAGGGCGGAAGGAGGGACAGCCGGACAGGTGCCCGCGGGCATGGTCATCTCATCGGGGGGATTGGGTGCAGGGTCCCTCTCCATTCTTACACACAGTCCCAACGCTTACTCACCACGGACACACGGCTCCAACACTGACTCACACCACGGACACGACCACAACACTGACTCACACCACGGACACACGACCACAACACTGACTCACACCACGGACACACGACCACAACATTGACTCACACCACGGACACATGGAACCAACACTGACTCACACCACGGACAGACGGCTCCGACACTGACTCACACCACGGACACACGACCACAACACTGACTCACACCTCGGACACATGGAACCAACACTGACTCACACCACGGACACACAGTCCCAACGCTGACTCATACCACGGACACATGGAACCAACACTGACTCACACCACGGACACACGACCACAACACCGACTCACAACACGGACCCACGGCCACAACATCTACGAATGGATCACAGAAGTTCTGCGGTGCCTCCAACCGAAGGCTTCCTTTGAACACCACGTGGCACGCTATTCTGCGAGAGATCCACCGGTCGAACAATCGGAACGTACAGGAGGAGCCCCTTGAATATGGCGGTGGGTCACGTTCTTGGAAAAAAACGCGATATTCAATACTTCGGCCTTACCTAAATAATGGGGCGGGCTACACGGCAACGAAATAGACGCAACACAATTTAAATAAGCACTGTACTGCAGAGGTGTGGACTCGAGTCATGTGACTTGGACTCGAGTCAGACTCGAGTCATGAATTTGATGACTTCAGACTCGACTTGGACTTGCATAACAATGACTTTGTCCCACCTCTGAGGTGTGGACTCGAGTCATGTGACTTGGACTCGAGTCAGACTCGAGTCATGAATTTGATGACTTCAGACTCGACTTGGACTTGCATAACAATGACTTTGTCCCACCTCTGCTGTACTGTATGCCACAAATTTTAAACAAAATTATTGAAATAAACACGTATAAACCCTATACAAGACACATTCCTGGAGAATAAATAGTATAAATACTGAATAAATACCGTACTTCCAAATGATGATTCAAAGCGAATGTGTGTGTTCGTGATGGTTAACGCACTGTGCTATGAACCGGGCAACTCAAGTTCAATTCCCGCTCACGACCAACACCAGTGACGATTATCTGAACCGGTTTTGGGCCTGCCCTAGATCGACCCAGCCTAAAAATAGTACCTGGTTTGGTGTGTAAACATCGCCACTGGGGAGACGAAGGCGGTGGGGCGTGGTGCTGCCCCCCCCCCCGTGCCGTGCCGGGGTGGGGAGCTGGCACGCTGCCTGCCGGACTGCGCAGTCACCAATGGAGAGGTCAGGTGGGAGAGGCGGGGGGGCTGAATCGGCCACTGAACGGCATGGCGAGTTCGTCTATCCTAGCTGATGAACAGTAAGGGTTTTTTTGGGTTAGATCGCGTAAATATATAAATGTGTCGGTAAACCCGCCACCACCAGACAGCCAACTAGTGAGGGTTGTCACGTAAACAGAACGTGTCAATTCGTCACTAGTCCAGCACACCGGTTGTGTGTTGGAGAGCCAAGCCACATTTATAATCTGAGTACGACGTTTCGCCAGTAATTACAACTTGCTTCATCAGGCGAGTTGTAATTTCTGGCGAAACGTCGTACTCAGATTGTAAATGTTGTGGCTTGGCTCTCCAGCACATCGGTGTGCTGTACTCGTGACGAATTGGCCTGTTTTGTTTACGTGACAAACCTTACTAGTTGGCTGTCGGGTGGTGGCAGGTGTAACGACACATTTATATATTTACGCGATCTAACCCAAAAAAATACATGTGTTGTGGATGACATTAATCGCGAAAGCCTGCTACGTGTTAAACGAACAGTAAGGGTCTTTCCTATAATTTCTGATAATACCACAGCCCACCGTAGCCCGGTGCTCGCACTGCTGTAGATGGGTCATGATCGCCGTGCATGGTGGTGGTTCAGAATCTGTCTATTGATCGTCAGCCCTGCTGCATTGTGTGCACGTGGTGGTGTAGATGGATCGTGATGTCGGGGGTGATGCTGAAGCACGCGCTGCTGCAGGGCACCGTGCGCGGCGTCTATCGCAGTGTCGAAAAGCCGCTCAAGCTCTTCCAGACCGCGTCTGTCCTCGAGGTGCCGGTCCGCGACGCTCACAGCAGCAACTGCAACAGCAGCCATGCGCTCATCCTTCGTTTGAACTAGGGATGTTGAACGCAAACCGATAACCGTTTCGAGAACTGCCTACCGGTTCTAAAAGTCACGCACCGGTAACCAATTCCAGTGGTTTTTTTAGCCATGAATGCACTGAGTAAACTTGCCATAGCCGTGTAGCCATTACACGGCTATGGCAGCTCCCCTTGTTACCCAGGTTAAAAGTTAATTAGTTTACATTTAATGCTGGACAATTCTACGTGTGTGATAGAAACCGGTACCCGGTTTTTACCACTTTTTTCACGTGGTCACGGTTATGCAAACATTGATTTTAACAACCCTATCTTCTTGGTTCTTTCGGTATAGTCACGTAGAAGGGAAGTAATACAATAATAAAAATAAAACATAATAAAATAATTCTCACGACGTTTCGGCTACAACGCAAGTAGCCGTCCTCAGGTGAAACCAGGTCTGTCGAGGCGACAGCGTCTGAATGAAACAGCACACGTGCTTGGAGCATATATATAAGCTGGGTTGGAAGGGGGGGGGGGGAAGGAGGCGCCTTGACAAAAGAATTTGCATATCAAGAGGAATCCACCATACCCATGGGAAATGCAGGTATGTGATTAGTACTACTTGTGTAAGTGCATTATGCAGGATTAGCAGCATCCAAGGGAGGAGATATGGGAAATTCAGATATGTGATTAGTACTACTTGTGTAAGTGCATTATGCAGGATTAGCAGCATCCAAGGGAGGGGATATGGGAAATGCAGATATGTGATTAGTGCTACTTTGCCCGTGCATGATGCAGGATTAGCAGCATCACAGGAAGGGGATAGGGGTAGCATTAATAATGGGAAGAAGTGTTAATAGTATCTAGCTGCAGTAATTTAATGTTTGTGTTTGTCTATGGCAATATATAGTACGGTGTAGAATCGTGTGATGTAAGAGAATAAAATTTAGATGGAAGCATATTATATTTTATGACGTAGAATTATAATGTATTACTTACTGTTAGTAACTCAGCTTATTGTAGAGTATATCTAGTATAATGATGATACTATGTAGTTTATACTTTAGTTGTTTACTTGGTGGTTTTAGTTACTGCAGCTAGATACTATTAACACTTCTTCCCTTTATTAATGCTACCCCTATCCCCTTCCTGTGATGCTGCTAATCCTGCATCATGCACGGGCAAAGTAGCACTAATCACATATCTGCATTTCCCATATCCCCTCCCTTGGATGCTGCTAATCCTGCATAATGCACTTACACAAGTAGTACTAATCACATACCTGCATTTCCCATGGGTATGCTGGATTCCTCTTGATATGCAAATTCTTTTGTCAAGGCGCCTCCTCCCCCCCCCCTTCCAACCCAGCTTATATATATGCTCCAAGCACGTGTGCTGTTTCATTCAGACGCTGTCGCCTCGACAGACCTGGTTTCACCTGAGGACGGCTACTTGCGTTGTGGCCGAAACGTCGTGAGAATTATTTTATTATGTTTTATTTTTATTATTTTATTACTTCCCTTCTACGTGACTTTACCGAAAGAACCAAGAAGATGAATCCCTGCAGTCACGAAAGCTTTAAATCGAAATTTAACAACCCTAATCAAACCAATCTCTCATCGCGCTCCCACGTGTTATCGGATTTACAGCGTGTGGGTTTGTCGTGATTATTCTGAGTTTTACTCCACGTGCTGGGAGCTTCCTCAGCAACTAAAGCGTAACGTCGGACGTTGTGCGGAAACGCACGCGGTGACAGCCCGAATGCACAAGGGGGCGCTGCACAGCACCACCACAGCGCGCAACTCGCCGTCCCAGTAGACGTCTCTAATTGGGAATTTTGCTGTCCTTGGCAGGTCCTCTACTCCTTTTTCGGTGAGTAATACACTCACTGACAATTCGTGTTCTTCCGTTTCGAGGGACTCGATGCACACTTCTGAACCAATCACAAGGAAAACCTAGCATGGCTAACCAACGCCAAGAACCACATCTGTATCATTTCGGGTGAGATTGACAATGAAACACTTTCACAGAGGTCGGGAGTTTTTTTAAAGGGAATGTTATGCTGCTTTAACCACCGCCAAGCGTGTTCTTGCCGGTTAGAGCACGAGTTTGTGCGTTCAGTTGTTCCTGAATAACACGGAGGCTCCCTGAACAGATCGGCCTGCCAGCTTGTTGTTATCGCTCTCTGCCCCCAGGCATCGTGCCGTCGAGTGTGACGCTCAAGGCGTTCCACGTGTCCTCGCGAATCTTCCTACTGTGGGCCGTGGTGCACAGTGTGAGAGAGGTACCGAAATTATAAACGCCTCCTTTGAACTTAAAGCTTTTGTGACTGCAGGAATTCATGTTCTTGGGTCTTTCGGTAAAGTCACATCGATAGGTTCAAAGAAAATAACAAAAAACTACGACGTTTCGATCGCAACACAAGCAATCGTCATCAGGAGAAAAAATAGCAGGAAAGCTGCTGAGGCAGGATGTTTTAAATCATCCTGCCTCAGCAGCTTTCCCGATATTTTTTCTCCTGATGACGATTGCTTGTGTTGCGATTGAAACGTAGTTTTTGTTTATTTTTTGTTATTTTCGTTGAACCTATCTATGTGACTTTACCGAAAGACCCAAGAATATGAACGCCGCCTTTCTACCATTTGTCTCTCCACGATGTTGTTTTACATGACCCATTGTCCTTGATGGAGTGCATCTTAGCTTAACTAATTCTATAGATGAACACGCTGAGCCAATTTTTACAGTGTCTCATCATCAGAATAGTTAGGCTATAGTGAGCCAATGCTTGTGAGCTGCCATGTGTACCCTCTCTGTGGGATATGGACCCTGCGAAATACATGTCCTCAAATTTTTCTCTCTATATACAAAAATATTTTTTCTCCAACTTTTTGGTCTCATGGACTTTTGGGAGTGCTCATTATCAGCAGAATTAGTAAAATACATGCACACTCTGGACTGGTTTCGACATTCAGTGTCTCATCAACACCCATACTCGGGTGCTGCGATATAACGATATATCACATATTAGATCCACAATAATCGTGTTTCTGTTTTTCTAACGATCATCATATTGCAATCACCGTTGCTCATCCTACTTTTCTAAACTATTTTACTTTCTGAGGTGGCAACATAGAAGTCACGTGAGATACGAGAGGCTTGAACTGATTTAGATGGAGAGATACAGATGTACCCCGATACACGTTAATTTAATTTACGGTGATTCATTATGTTCGTCATAAATTAACACATTTTTACTTCTCGTTTGTCTAAATTATATAGTAAACCCTCGCTATGCGCGCATTCTCGATTCGCGAGTTTCGCATATCCGTGAGTTACTAAATGTTTACCGATTCCCTATTCGCGACACCGGGGAGGTATGCGCAGAATGTTACATTGGAAACTGCGAACATTTGGCACGCCTCATCGGCTGCCCGCTTAGTCCTCAGCACTTGCAGCAATCCCGCTCTATACTCGCTATTGTGCATTTTGACTTTATACGTACTTAGTCTATTCGTTTATACATATTGGTGTAAATGAGTCGACTGTGAGGTCCATTAAAAATAAGGCGAATGCAATTGGATAAAGTGTATGCGGCGAGTGCTCCCCAAACACCTGCATCTCCCGAGGGAGTCATCCTCCTGAATTCTTCACCACCACCTCCATCGTTGTCAAATGATGATCAAACATAATAAAAACACATTGTTCTTTTATAATGTATTATTTACTTATTATCATTCTTATTAAACATTTACCATTCCCCCCCCGCCCTCCAAATTATCGCTCGTACTAGGGACGTCACCCCATTTTCCCCCATTGGAACGAGGTTTCTGCATTCGTGAATTCTGCATTCGCGAGCGTTTTCAAAAACGTAACGCTCGCGAATTGTGAGGGTTTGCTGTACAATCTTGGTGGGGTGAAATTTTTTTAAACTAAATGCGCGTTTTGTCGTTTGTACGTTCGTGCATTTAATACCGTTCCAGGCCATTCTGGCCGCCACCATTTGTAGCTTCACCACGTGTTGTTTACAAGCCGGGTAGTGCAAACTACTGTACCACCATGCTTTGAACTGTACGTACTGTAGGTACAGTACTCCCCAACAGGGGGAGGAATACGCTCCTCCTGCCCCTCCCCCACCCTCCCTGTCAGCCCCCAACCTCAACACCTCACAACCACGTGTATGGCAGTTTCAAGTTATAATGCAGTGTGTTATTAATCCCTGTCTAGTTATTCTCCATATTTAAGTATGAAAATATCTTAGTATATGTTGAAAAGTGTTATTTTAGTAGGCTTTGAATCAGAAAATATTTTCTTAGGAACGCATCTTTGGTTGACGTACTGGGATATATTTCAGTTTCCAAGTGTGTCTCGCTTAACGAGCGAGATGCATTCCACGAAACTTGCTCGGTAAGTGAAAATTCATGAAACGATCGTCATTTTCCCATTGACCCCCAAGTTAAAAGCTGAGATAAGTTTCAGCCCCAACTTTTTCCACTCTTGAACAACGTTAAATGTGTAAAGGAGAGCCGACACAAGATTGCAGGGGTTTCGTCTTTTAATCCTTTTCTCCCATCCACACCTGTCCCCAGCCGTCCCAATCTCGTTCCCGCCCATTAGGCCCCCCTTTCCCACCCGTTCTCCCCTTATATCTACTCGATCACCCCTCCCACTAACCCTCCTATTGGTGGAAATCCTTCCCCTGACCCCCCTACATCACCCCCCCCCCCCCCCCCCCGGAGAAAAAAAATACCGTCCTCGGTTCTGCCTCCTCCATGGACCATTTAAGTCTCCCCATGCCTCCCCCCACTGACAGTGACGACAGCCCTTAACCCCCCCACAACCATACAATGCAATATAACACAACAAAATCAATTGCGCGGCCTGCCCAGGTCTCCAGCCAGCGTCCCGTAACAGCCCGGACATCCACAGGCAGCAGATGACCGTGGCGGCCCCCTCCTTCGAAGGCCCTCTCGTCACGGTCCCTGGTTCGGTGGTGCCGGTGTCGCCTTGCCTGGCGCCGCTGTCTCTCCTGCCCCCGCTCGTGCCACCGCTTTGTCAGGCCTCACATGGGGTGCTGTAGGTGACAAGGGAACACAGGGCACCGAACCCCCTGCCGGTCGGCGCTTGGTGATCGGCGACCTTAGCCTGGGTAGGGATGATGATGATGATGTTGGCAGTGATGTTGGTGGTGATGTTAGTGAAGATGACGGTGGAGAGATGTATGGCTTAAGGCGGGTGGGGTGTACAAACCATCGTCGCTTACCCAGTTGGACCTGGACGCACTGCGGTCGGAGTGCTTTAATGACCTCGACCGGCCCTTTCCACGGTCGGTGCAGCTTTGGTGAGAGGCCAACCGGCACCTGAGGACAGTGTAGCCATGCCTGGTCTCCGACTTTAAAGGGCTTGGCTGTCACTGTCCTCTCCCGTATCCGTACATTACTCTCTTGGCTCGTGGCCGATGCGGCCTCAGCGGCTTGGCGGGCCTCTCTCAAATAAATGAGGGAGGTCTTTAGTGCCTTCAGCCATGCGTCAGCTCTTGCGGGAATGTCCGTCAGCTGCACCTCAATAGGCGGAACGGGATCCCGTCCGTACATCAGGAAAAACGGCGAGAACCCCGTCACCGCGTGCGGGGCCACCCTGTACGCCACTAAGACCGATGGAATGTGGAGGTCCCAGTCGGAATGGTTTTCGTCCACCACTTGGGACAGCATGGCCGCTATGGTGCGGTTAAGCCGCTCTACCATCCCATCGGTCTGGGGATGATACGGAGATGTTCGGACCTTTTTAGTGCCCAGGATAGAGCAGACGTCCTTCAATAGCTGTGAGGAGAAATTCCTGCCCTGATCCGTGAGCAACCGCTCCGGTGCCCCCTTATCAAGGACATAGCCTCCCACGAAGGCATCGGCGATGGTCTGTGCCGTTTGGTCCGGGAGGGCCCACGCCATCGGCCACCTCGTGCAGTACTCGACTCCAACCAACAGGTATTTTTTTCCCCGTGGCGTGACTGGCAGTGGTCCCAGGATGTCCAACGCAACCAATTCGTTGACCCTGGTCACCGTGATGGGCTGTAGGGGCGCCCGGCTTTCGCCGCGCACATTCGACGCAGGTAGCGACCCATCGATGCACGTCAGCGGTCATACCTGGCCAAAAGTACCGACCCTTTAATGTGTACAGTGTCTTCCGCCCCGCCAGGTGCAGCAGCTGGCGGCCGTGTACGTCCATAACCAATTGTTGACGCAGCGACTCCGGAACTACCAGGCATCGCCGGCGCCCTGTCGGGTCCCATCGCATGAGGAGGTCCTCCCATACGATGTACTCCTCCCCCCCTGCCTCTGCTGAGGCGCGTAGCGTTTGCAGTGGGGCTTCCTCCAGCTGTAGCCGTCTCCAATCGTCCAAGGTCAGCCCCAGGTCGTGGTCGGTCAGCTGGACCTCACCCTGTGCGCCCTCCGCCGTGCGTACGGGAGCGATGACCGTCCCCTCCGGCCTCGCCTCCTTGCAGCGTGCCCCGCCTGTGGTGCATGCACAAGGGCCCTGGGGTGCCAGTCGGGACAATGCGTCTGCGTTGGCATGTCTGGTCCCTTTGCGATGCACTACTTGGTACCTGTGCTCCTGCAGGCGCTCTATCCATCTGGCCAGCTGGCCCGAAGGCTGGTCGATGCGGAGCGAATACTGCCAGGAGTTCCCTACGTGTGACGCAGTAGCGCTGCTCCGCTGATGAAAGCACGCGACTACCGTAGGCGATAACCACCTCCCGATCCTGCTGGACTTGCGACAAAACACTGCCGATGCCCACATCGCTGGCGTCCGTGTCCAGGATAAAGGGGAGGCCAAAATCCGGAAAGGCCAATGGTGGTGCATCTGTCAGACGTGAACGCAGCTGCTGGAATGCCTCTTCCTCCAGAGGGCCCCAATAAAACCTCTGGTTCTTCACCGTCAACACGTGCAAGGGCTTGGCAATGGTTGCGAAGTTGGGTACAAACCGGCGGTAGTAAGAAACGAAACCCACAAACCGGCGTACCTCTGGAACCGTTGTGGGAACAGCCCAGGCCCTCACGCAGGCCGTATTTTCCGGGTCTGTAGCCACTCCAGACTCACTGACGACGTGGCCCAAGTAGCGTACCGACGACTGCATAAGGTGGCACTTCGACGGCTTGAGCTTCAAGTTCGCGTTCCGGAACCGCAGGAATACCTGACGTAATCGGTCAATGTGTTCCTCGAATGATCGGCTGAAGACAATGACGTCATCCAGGTAGATGAGGCACATTTCCCATTGGAGGCCTGCTAAGG